ACGCTCCCCTTCCCAACACCCCTTTCTTTTGAAAAGAGAAGCTTGAAGCCTGTTTTAATGTAAATAAAACTGTACACTTTACCATCCCCTCGCCACCACCGGGGAAGGCAGTGACTCAACCACGTACAATGGGTTGTGCTGTGGATTACTAATTAGGCAATGCAATTAGTGTTCACCTGTTTTTCCTACTGTGTCATGTGCTTTCTCAGGAGATCCCAATCTTGGGTTCCCTAGTTTTTCTTTCCTTGATAAATATAACGTACAAGGAACTTTTCCAGTTTTTCGTTTTTCGATGAGAGATACCACGTTCCCCAGCATTTCACAAAGAATTGAAGATCTGGGGTTGGGTTGGGCAGACAAACCACACCAGCCTGTATGCAGTGCCTCGTACAGGGGACTCCCGCCTGCTACTGTGGGACTAAGAGTAGACTAATTTCATGACAGTTTTCACACTTTGACCATCTGTCTTGTCCAATCTTAGTTTTATTTGTATTTTTCTGCAGTAAGACCTTTTTTCACTAATTCTGTGCTATTGATCAAACCAAGCTCGTATTTCAACTGCATTAACTAAAAACGCAATCATGCTTTGGAATTTAAAGGTAATGACAACTTTCTGCTGGCTTTGTTTCCAGCCTTGTCCAATTTAACTACACCATGGCTCCTTACAGTTGTATTTCACAGACATTTACTTAATCTATTAATTCTTTTTTTGCAATTTCAGAGTAGGTTTCTGACTTATCAGTGTACTTCAGTATAATGTGGCTGTCATGTTCTGCAAGATCTGTAATGGATTAGTACATGTAATTGTAAATAGTAGAGATGATCATAAATAATAAGGGAGAACAGAAGGAGATGTGAAAGAAACAAGTAGAAGCTTAATAAAATGTTAATGACAGTGGATATTTAAAATAATTAGTTAATTTACTTAATCATCAAGTAAATTGATATAAATCGATCATATTTTAGCTATGTTGCACTGTCTTCAACTGTAATTTTCCATTATAAAATTGATTTTTTGTTTGTTTGTTTCTCAATTACACCATCATATGAAAAATATGAAATGGTGACCTGCACTAGAAAAACTTCATGGCTTCTGCCTCTCGTGTCCTCCTCAGGAAGACGGATGGTAGCTGGGCAGGTTAACCTTCCCAGGGACGCCCTAGTCGTCAGGGTCAGAGCTCCTCCAGAAGGTGGTTCAGAGCATGACTGTAAGCAGGGTACGCTGCCTTTGTCCTCAAATTTGTTTTTCTCTTCCACAAGTCCTTTCTTCCATTTGCTCTTTTATTGTTAGGCAGCCGCAGTGACTTTGCGTTGCAGTACTCAAGCTTGTAAGAAGAATGATTGCTGCCAGTAAGTAAAATGCTGTTTTGGCTCTGGTTTCTGGTGGTGGTCTTCACATCTAGTTTTATTGCTTTGTTGGTTAAAACGATAACAGAGGACCTTTGCTACGTATCCAGCAGGGAAAATTTGTTGTGTGTTCCTCAGTGTCACTCAGCTCCTCAAAGAAAGTTCCAAATCTTGAGCTACAGAAATGTTTCCACTTAACTTTTACATAAATATGTTTGAGAGTATGTGTAAATAGTTTGGGGTTTTTTTTCCATTTGCAGATATATTTCATGGTAAGACTTACTCAGCAGGCACATTTCTCTCTTACATATGTCTCATGCTTCCACTTTTATTGGAAGCACTGAGGAGTGCAAAAATTCAGGTCAGTCTCTTGTAGTGGGGAAATTAATTCATAAATGTTACTACAGTTGCCTATGTAGAATATTGTCATTCAAGAAAATGTCGGCTCTGGAAAGTCAATGTCTAATGTAATTTCATTCTTTATTGAGAAGTCTGCCACATGCTAAAAATACAAGGAAGAGTGACACACAGAGAAGTTAATAGCATTATATTTAGTAACAGACATGGTGTAGAATATGGACATTTTGACGTGACTGAAGGACTATTATAGTCTGCAAGAGACCGTTCCTTTTCTTACCAATTGGAAAAATTATTTCTGTGGCTTATTCTTCCCCATGCAATAAAAAAGCCTGTGTGCTTAAGAAGTCTGAAGCGTAAACAGATTTCTCATAACACATGCCTTTTTTATGGCATTGGCATTACAGGGTATGACTGTAAATTTTTTGTTTGTGAGATGCCATCCTTGTTAGTCTTGGGTTTCCTAGGCTCTTGGGTGGGATGTGGGGTGGGTTTTTTTTATGGGGGGTTGGTGGGGGGTGTTGTGTTTGGTTTTGTTGCTGTTTTGGTTTGGGTTTTCTTGTTTGTGGTGGTTTGGTGGGGTTTTTTTGTGGAGGTGAGTGCTTGTCTTGAAACTTGAGCACAGCTGTGGGACTTGAGCAGACAGCGACAGTTCAGAGGAAGTCCTGATATTCTGTGATGATACAGTTTGTGTCGTGTTTTGGCAGCTACTGCCACCCCATGGTTTTCCATAATGGATGAATGCTGCAGAGCTTTAATACGTTGCATTTCTCCAGAAACCTCTCATAGGTCAGAGAAAAGACAATGAATATTCATTTTGTCTTACTCCCTCCTTCTCTATGGCCCCTTTTCAGAAAAATCCCCTCTGCAAAGAAAAGCAAGTATGGCATGAGCAGCGCTGCTTTGGTTTAGGATGGGTGAGTCCTTTCCACTGGATTTACAACTCTGTAATTGAATATTAATTTTGGCTCCTGGGAGTTTTCACTGACTGATTATATTTGCTTTGGCAGAACGTATTTTGCCTTTTTTTTTTAGGAACTTCAAAACATACATCTGGAGAGAGTTTGAAACCCATTTCTTAAAGTTGCTGCTGCTTTGGGAGTCTGTGTTTACATCATGGATGCCACATACAGACAGATCTGGGTTAAAGCAATCTGGCCTAAGCACAGTGTCCTCTGAGCATCACTTCCAGCAGAACTTTGCCTTCCCAACGCCAGCAAGTGCCCAGCCGAAGGTTCTGATGCAAAGGGGGACGTTTCAGATACCGTTATTCCACTCGTTACCCTACTTCATGCCAGGAACTACCCTTGGAGCAGAGGGAGATTTTTCTTTTGGGGAAGCAGCAAGCTGGATCACCTCTCATTTTGTGTATCTTCTCTCTGGGGCTGGAAGCTTCTTTCCTTTTGACCAACCTGGCTGAAACCAGGCATCAGTAACATAGGCTGTAGAAAATAACTGGGCTGGCTTGGAGGCAGAGACTTTGGCAAAGGCATTGGGCTCCCTTGTATATTGTTGGGGACTCTCAATTTTTACCACCCCCCCGCCTCCCCCAACCTCGAAGTATACCGAGTATGATGTGTACCCACCACGCCATATCTGTTTGGGTTTTTTTTTTTTTTTCCCAGCTGACATAAAAGTTGGATCCCCGCTCCCCAAGCCCTCCCACCCTGACCCCCCACAGGCCGGAGGGTCCCCCAGTTGCCAACCTGTGCCGGACCTGGCTCCGGGGGGCTCCCCGGGAGCTGGGGGGTACCCCTCACCAGCACCCTGCGCATCCCCTGTGGGTGCTGGGTGACCTGGGTGCTGCAGGCACCCACCTGCCCTGGGCAGGACCCTCTCCCAGGGGGGGCTGAGCAGCCCCTCTCCTCAGTCACCTGGAGCCTGCATTCCTCCAAAAACCCCAGCTAGCCCCAGCCTTGCCCCATTCCCGCCTGTTTTCCTTAAATGAACCAAATTCACCGGGAGCAGGAGCGGAGGCGGTGGTTTTGCCTTTTTTTTTTCTTTTTTTTTTTTTTTTTTTTCCCCGGAGAGATGTGGTATTTGTTTTTGCTCTCGCCTCCCTCAGCCCCCCCCACCCCAGGGCTGGGGGGGGTACGGAGGGACGGCTCCCTCCGCCCCGGGGAGGAGCTTCAGCCCCAATTGAGGTGGGTTTTGGGTGGGTTTTTTTTGGTTTGTTTTTTTTTTTTTTTTCCCTCTTTGGGTTCGTTTTCCCGAAGAAGCGCTGGAAGCCCGGCAGCACCGGGTCCCCGAGGTGCCCCGACCCCACCGCCCATGGCTCTGCTTGCCCGCCCGAGATGCTCGTTCGCCGTCCCGCTGGGGAAAAACTGGCTTTGCCTTGTAAAATGAAGAGAGCGGGGGCTCCGAGCGGGGGGCGGGAGCCGCTTTTACGCTTTTCGGTGTGGAGCATGGAGAGAGGTAAAACAGCTACCTGAAGGAGGAAAAAAAACCCAAACACCAAAAAAACAAAAAAACCCCAAACGACCAAAAACCTAGAAGAAAAAAAAAAAAAACCAACAAGTAGTTCTCGCCCGGCGGGGAGACACGGGGAGCGGCGGGGATTCGGCGTCCGCCGCCGAGCATCAACCGGAGCCCGCCGGGGAAGAGGAGCCGCTCGCTTTCCTCCGGTAAAGGTAACGGAGGGGAGGAAGAAGAGGAAGAAGAGGGGGCTGGAGGGATGGGGCGGGGGCATGGAGAAACCCCCAGCTGCACGCTCGTCTGGATGATTTGTCCGAGAAAGTCGGGAGCCCAGCTTTTCCCAGGGTGTGCCCGCTGCCTGAGCTTACTGGGGAGGGGGGGGCTTGGTATTTCTTCCCCCAAAAGCAACCCCTCCCTGCCAAAATAGGGAGGGGGGGGGCGACGAAGAGACAACCCCCTACCCCTTTTTTTTTTTTTTTTTTTTTATTATTATTATCCCCCTCGTTAAGCTGTTAGGCTAATAAAAGATAGATGCCCATTAAATAATTAACCGCACACTTTCTATTCCATCAGCTCGGTTCACGCAGCCCCACGAGGGAGAAAGGAGGCGATGGGGGGGGGAGAAAAGCAGCAGTGACATTTCGGTAGCCTGCTTTCAGGGGAAGCGGGGGGCTAGGGCAGGCAGTGATGGTGGGGAATAGCCCCCCCCCCCATCTCCCCCAGTGGTGCTTGGGGGGGGCTTCTCGATTTCTTCTTTCTCTTTGCGTTTAAGGTAGAAGCTCATCCCCTGCGGAGCTGCCCGCCACCGGTGTGTGTGTGTGTGTACCCCCCCCCAGCCCCCCCCACACCACCATCCCCGTTGCCGCCTCCCGCACCCTCCCCAGTCATGTCCCACCCGGAGCGATGGGGAAGCTCGAGGACAACGAGAGGGTGATCCTCAACGTGGGGGGCACGCGGCACGAGACCTACCGCAGCACCCTGAAGACCCTGCCGGGGACCCGCCTGGCCTTACTCGCCTGCGAGTCCCAGAGCGAGTCCCCGGGCGGTGAAGAACCACCCCTGCCGCCCCCCAACCCACCTCCACCCGTGGGGGGCTGCCCAGAGCCCGGCACCGGCTGTAGCCCCCGGGGCAGCGGGGGTACCAGCGAGTTTTTCTTCGACCGGCACCCGGGGGTCTTCGCCTATGTGCTCAACTACTACCGTACCGGCAAACTGCACTGCCCCGCCGACGTCTGCGGGCCCCTCTTCGAGGAGGAGCTGGCTTTTTGGGGCATCGACGAGACCGACGTGGAGCCCTGCTGCTGGATGACCTACCGCCAGCACCGCGACGCCGAAGAGGCCCTCGACATCTTCGAGGCTCCCGACCTGCTGACGGGCGAACCGCCCCCCGACGGCGACGACGACGACCTGGCCGCCAAAAGGTTGGGCATCGAGGACGTGGGGGCCACCGCCGAGGGCAAGGGCGGGCGCTGGCGGCGGCTGCAGCCCCGCGTCTGGGCGCTCTTCGAGGATCCCTACTCCTCACGGGCCGCCAGGGTAAGCGCCGACGGACGGACGGATGGACGGACGGCGATCCCGCCCCGGGGGGGAGGCTGAGGGGCTGCCAGGGGTGGGCATGCCGTGGTCCCCTTGCCCTTGGGGCGTCGAAGGGGAAGCTCGCCCCGGTTGGGGTGGGCGCGCGGAGGCGATGACGCTTCTTCGGTGGGCTGCTGCGTGGGGGTGACGTCGGTTCCCCGTGGGGCGGTGGTGCGTGTCCCCTCTGCATCCGCGGGCGGCGGGGGGGTCCCGCCGGGCCGGCGTCCCCCGTGGGAGCGTACGCGGGGTGAGGTGGGAGCCGTGACCTGAGGAGTCTGCGAAGGGGGCCACGCTCGCTGTCCCGGGCAAGGGGGGGGACGCTTTTCTGCGTGGGTGTGGGCAGACACGGCCCCGAGGTGCCCTCGTCCTTTCTGAACACCTAACGTGGAGGTGCCTTTGGGGCCGGGGCAGGTGGTCCCACCGGGAGGGCATCGCTGGGGGGGTCTCGGGTTTGGGGTGAGGAGGTGACGAGGATGCAGGCGAGGGACCTCAGCCCTGCCCCAGCTTCGCTCTGTCTGCACTGGGAGGTGATCCGAGTTCCACAAAGTAAGTGTGACGGGGGGGTCACCCTGGCTCTCCCTCCATCGATTTCTCAGGGTGACCCTTTACTGGCTCCGTGGCTGAGGGTACGGGCACAAGGCAGTAAACGATCGTAGTAAGTTTCCATTATTTAGATTGTTGCTTTAGATTTTGATGCCGACTACTTTCTACTTTGACGATTTGGACTTTAGTTCCGTCTTTTAGTCGCTGTTGTCAGCGGCGATGCCGGTTTGCTTTCTAACCCAGGGCTTTGGAGCAAACAAATGGTTGTAATTCCTTTGAGAGAAAGATACAGCGGTGCCTCAGATTTAACAACGAGAAAAGCAACCACCAGCAAATCCTCCCTGCGATACAACAAAAAGAACTTGTAATTGGAAACGTTTGATTATAAAATGGTAGGAAGTGTTTTGCAGCATATTTACCGGGATTCCTGTGAAGTATTCAGAGCTAAGCCTCGTTCTGCAGAAAGTGCAGTTACGGTGGGTGTCGTCTCCTGATCCGTTCCCCTGATTTCACTGACAATCTCACAGATGTGACCCTGAGCGTGTGGTTAAGTGAATTCCTGATTTGTGCCCTATGGCCTGATGCAGTTTCTGTGGAAGTTAGCAACTCCCGTGAGCTTAGTGAGGTAAGTTAAACAGAAAGTAACAGTCCTTGGAGTCACTACTGTCCCTTGCTGAGTGCCAGCGTTGTTTATGTTTTTGAAGGTTGCCCACCAATACGTTTTCCCTCGACAGCCGGCTCTAGCTGATACTTGAAATACGATTTTAATAAAGGATCAGTTCTGAAGACAAACTACCAGAAGTGTCTATCTTTGCTCATCGATGACATACCCACGTTGCTCGCATCTTAGCTGTCTGAATCCTAAAGAAAACTTGGCTGTCAGTTATGTGATGGAACAGTGGTGCGCGCGGTGATTGCGCTGCAGGTTGTCTTTCACCTCCTCTTTCGTGGAAAGTTGCTGACGGCGCCGAATCTGCGGCTTTTACGATAGGGAACCTTTCCACTCAGCTTTGCTGGAGAACTGAGGAGTGCAAAGTAAACGTTAAATGGAAGATACCAGGAGAAATAGGAAGGTAGGCATGCTGATTGCAGCTGTGCCCTGGAGTTGTAGCTGTCACTTGGGTTTTCAGTCCACTTCGGTCCGCTCTTTGACAGAGCCTGTAGGCACTTGCTTTCCAAATTTTCCATCTGTACTAGACCATCCTGACCCGTCAGTGGCTCGGCTAAACATATTTTGAGTTTGCAAAATGAATGCCCTAATTAACATCATAACAGAAAATTGTGACATGGCTATATTCGTGTCTTAGAAGATAAGGTATTTACCTTTTTATAACTTAAAACCTGGTTTTAAGCATTATATTCAGATTTCAACTCCAGGCAGCCAGAGTAAGGCAGTGTCAGAGATGTAACAACAGTGTCTAAATCAGCGTTTTCATTTTCTTCAAGGCTGCTACTCTGTACCTCGATCTTTCAGGCAGGGAGACAACTTTGAGAACTGCTGGCAAGTTTTAAAGCATTAAGTAAATTTGTATTTAAGGACTAGCATGCACTTAGTAAGCACTCTTGAACACCGTAATTTAAGGTGATGGTAACCTTAGTTTGGAACTGAGACATTAATGTCAATTCAACATTTTCCCACACCTGAAACAGAGACGTTATTTTTTGAGTGTTCTGGCAAATACACTTCTTGTTTTGTGTCAGCTGAAATGATGACTAACTCTAAAAACATTTGAGTGAAATCTTGGCCTTACTGTAATCAAGACAAAACTCTGTGAACATCAATCTTTGCCTCATAGTGTCAGCTACTGACTCATACGCCACTTAGATTATGGTGAGGCTGCTTAGTGGTAAACTTTCTTAATAATGGTGGTAATTATTTTTTTAGCATTACTGCCTGATTTAACTTCAGCAATGTCTTTTCTGGGAATTATGATGATGATAAAAATGGGATATTTTCTATTAATGAAATGGTACTTAATATTTGTGATTTGCTTTATCCTAAACTGTGATCTCTAAAAATAGAAATTTATAGAATTTCAAATATAAGTTGCCATGGTAACCTATTGGGGGATAGTGCACGCACAAGATTATTCTAGCAAGACCATCCAGTGATGTTATATAAATAGTGGAACTTGTTTGTTGACAAGAAGGTTTACTTTATTTGAGATTCTAAAAAAAAAAAGATTCAACTTTTAGTGTATGCAGTTTGATATTCAGATGGCGACAGCTACTAAACGTTTTTTTTGTGAATATAAAATGTAATCCACGTACATACAATTGCTTTGAAATGTGCAATGCATTTCTTTGTTTCTCAAGTTCAGGAGTTATATCTGAATATTATTTCTGGGTTTTTTTTTTGTTTGTTTTGGATTTCATAGACTGTGAAATGAAATTAAAGAGTACAGCCGTACTCCTTTCACTCCCAGGCTTAATAGAGCAATCATTCACAAACTGCTATTTGACAGAATGCTGTTATGTAGATGCGGAAAGCTAGTGGCACAAGATACTGTCATAGGAGGAGAAGCGTCAGGCAACTAAATCTTCCTGTGCGTTGGTTTAAGCATCTCTGAAACAGACACTTACCTGATTCTTACCTGAACCAAACGTGTATTGTGCGTTTTGCTAGTTAATACCTGTCAATGATTTTGGTATCCTTTGATGGCTCGTAAGTGCAAAGTACTCATTATGTTTTAGTGAAGTGCAAAGATACGTCCAAATAGTTTGTAAGAAAGTACGAGAGGCATAATTAAGCACTGAGTTTGAAAGAATGTCTGCAGAAGCCCAGGAGGACCTAGAACGTCAGTGCTGGTCTCAGATACCATATTTCAAATTAATTAAGCTTTTAAGGCCTTTTACTTTTGAATAATAGTTGAAATAGTTGATGCTCTTTAAGGAATTAATTCATATTTGTCATTGATTTTTCCTAAAGATTATGGATTACTCTTGTACTTAGCGTAGGAACTCAGAAATAGCCCAGGGATTCGCAAAGTTTGTAGCTATATGTCCTTCACTTTCCGAGAAGACGGTAAATCTGTTCGTGGGTGAGGGGACAGCACCTGCGAAGTGGGGTGGCTCAGGGGGTCAGTATGGCCCAGGGCACTCGAGCAGGCGCTGCCTGCAGCACCCTTGCTGGTTTTGGCAGCTGAAGGCAAATTGCACAGCCCCTTTGCTGTAGGGCCTTTATCTATAGGAAAGATCATAATTACTTGGTTTACAAGGGAAGGAGAAAAACTAATTAGCAAGTATTTGTAAAGTTTGCTGTAAGTAAGTATTCACTGAAACACAAATAGAACCACAGAAGCCTGGCAGTCGAGGCATCAAGATACTTACACCTTCTTAAAAATACTGATCTCACGCTGCTTTGTCGTGACACGAGGAGCTGGACTTGAGCAGTGAGCGGTATCATTGGATGGAAGTACGACGTTCCCGTCTACTGCTTTACGTGAAGTTCTGTTGTCAGAGAGTCCTTTCAGCGTCCCGTACCATCTACGCCAGCTCTGAACATTCGGTGGGGCAGGTTGTAGGAAGAATCAGCTGAAAGGAGTGAGATGGGAGAGGGAGAAAATAGGATTTGATAGATCCCCTCGAAAGGCTAAAGCTACAGAAATCATACTGGAGAGCATTCTTATCAACAATAACTTATGTCTTTATTGGTTTTTTTCCAGGTCCTAGATACCCGTCTGTATGGTGAATGACTGGAGTGGGTTATATTTTTAGGGCTTTGGCTGTTCGTGATGCAAAACAGTTTTTATTTTTGGTGGAAGCAATGCTGCCGGGATAGTCTGAGATACCGTGAACAGAGTGGTGAAGATATGTTAATCTCAGAATATATGTCCGTAGATTAATAGTGAATAGCAAAGTTTATTTGCTTTCTTGACAAATAGAAAGGGCCTTTAATTTATAAGTGGAAATCTTTATTCTCTGTCTTTTACTCAACAAGGAAAGCAAGTATACTCTAGATTTTACCATTTAATAATTTTTGAGTTATGCAGACATCTTCTATCTGAAAGTGATAAAATAGTAAGGTTGATAAAGAAACTGCAGAGAGGGTATTCCTTTTGCCATGCTGGTAATCAAAGTGCTGAATTTATTTTTAAATGGGAAAAGAGTCCGTTAGATTAAATTGGTGGAAAATCAGTCATTCTGCTTGAAGCATTTAGCCTTTGTGAGCTGTCATTTTTAAAGAAACAGCAAGATCTGTTCCTAATGACAAAAATCATAATGCATCACTGTTACAGATATTCATATACTCTGTAGATGCATGGGCTACCTGGGCTAAATCGCTTTGTAAGTAATTTTTATTAATTTACTTGTGGCATGCTGGCTTTTAAGTCTGAACTGGAAATTGTAGCCTAATATGTGACGTAGTCAACATAAACTAGCTTGATTGACCTTAAATGTAGACGGCGTCTGATGGC